GGTTCTGCTGGAGGTTTCTTCCTGTTCAAAGGGAGTTTTTCCTCTCCACTGTCGCTACAAGCATGCTTAGTGTGAGGGATTGAATCCAGTCAATGAGTCGATGCAATCAGCTGGTTTTCTTTAGACAGAAACTTTGAATCAATGTAACTGGATGATCTGGTGACTGTAAAGAGCCTTGAGATGACATGTGCTGTGAATTGGTGCAATAGAAATAAACTGAACTGAATTAAATACAGGAAATATTTATTCACACTGAAACTAATCCTACATTCTACTAGATGCATAGCAGTTTGTTGGTTCCAGATATTTCTGTTATTTTGATACTGGTAACCAATGCTTGTTTAATTTTTCGGGTCAAATCTAGGGCCTTTGCAAAAGATTTCCCACAATGCATTTCTACCATTTAAGGAGACCAGAAAAGGGAACGAAGGCTATACACTCTAACCTTGATTACTACAAAGAAAAAATAGACTGTTTAAAAAAAGTAAAGGGACCCACCCATCACTGCTTTTAGGAGTCACAGCTATGTATGGCAAACTGCATGTCTGTGAAGTATTACTTCCTTTTAATTAATTATGTTATGTTACATCAGCAGCAGTGGGACTACAGTATTAGTTGTTAAGAATATATAAGGTTGGATTATAATAAATAAGGTTTGGTATTAAAATTATCAATATCATACTGATCCACATATGCAGAGTCTGAAACCTGAACTAGTTATCAGTGAGATCCAAATTTACCATCAACGTATTGCCGTATCTGTCAACAAACAAGTTCTACTCAATGAAAACCTCTTATGCTTCATTTTTCATTTTCAAAAAGAAGCAACATTTGGTTTTTACATGTTTCCCCTCAGGGCAGCTGAAGCTTTTAATTAATATAGGGTCTATTTTGTACATGTTGAAGCACAGTCACCCGAAATCTATGACTGTATTTAATTAAGTTCAACTGCAAACGTTTTTTCTCGTATTTTAAAGTCTTTTAATGAGGCGTTCTGCTGTGACCTGTGTGTCACACGCTGCCTGGCTGATTCTGAGGGAAAAACCTAATGCAGGTCAGTCCTGGTTTCCTTTCACAACATGTCTGTGCAGGTAGGAGCGACTGCTAAACTGTTTGCTAAAGAAGACAGAGTAGCTGTCTGCTGGAACGCCACTGGAAAACTTTAGTCTTCTGGAGGTTTCAGATGAGTCCAGGTCTTCTAGAGGAGCTGATCTTGTTTTCTAGCACGTGTTTTAGTATTTTCCTGGCCTGTTTTGGTGTTGTTTTCATGTTCCAGAAGAACAATCCCCCGGCTCTATTTTTAGGGGTTTGTTAGAGCAGCAGAAAGCTGTTGCATAAGTGTTAGATGACCTCCAACTTCTAAACATGGGTGAATGCTCAGACAGCCTGTCTGTTTACAAAGCTGAAAGGAAAGAGGATGCAGAGAAATCACATTTTCACCTTTTATTAGATAACAAAATCCGCAGGAGAGTCTTTAGATGGATAAATGATCTACGGCATCTGGCGATCTTTAAATGATGGTTCATTCATGTTTTTTTAATATAAAACTTCCAGATAGTAGCAGAATTTCAGACCTTTATGTTGACTTTAAATGTTAAATTGAGACATTTTTTAGAACAATGTGTTTAGCTTTTTTAAACAAGCTTACTTCTAAGCTTGAATGAAGCTTGTTATTGGGCAAAAAAAAAAAAAAAGCTAAATGTAGCTAAATTATGCTTCTTTTTTAATAAACTGTTTATGCTTATTAACTAAATCACACTTATAAAGTATCTGAAGTGAAACACTGTTTTAAAAAATCATGCAGCTAACATCTTACTTTCCCGAGAAATCATTTCATAAAGCAACTTTGAAACAACTCTAAAAAAGAAAGAAAAATATTTTTTTATAAAATGAACATATAGAATGACCCTGATGATCCAATTCTAAATACTGTTGAACTACAACAGAGCGTCTTCAGTCAAAGATTTTTGAGTATCCAGAAAAAAATTAATTTCCCTTTGTAATCAATTAGGTTTTTTTTTAGATAAATAATAAAAAAAAACTGTAAGGATGGAAGAAAGAAAACTATTGGAGCAAAAAAATCAGGAAAGGAAGGATATAAGGAACATTTTACAGACAGATGGGGAAGAAATAAAAGGTGGAAAGATGCAGAGAAGGACAGGAAATAAGAGAAGCATGGAAGTAGAACAAAATAATACTTAGAAGGAGACAAAAACACAAGGGAAGAATTAGTAAATGTAAAAGGAAAGAGCAAAGGATATGAGAGAGGGAGGAAGGACTGAATGAAGGAAAGAATAAAGGCTTGAAATATAAGCTATCTCCCCCCCAAAATCCTTATTTTTGTTTTCCACATTTTTCCGGATCTGGAACACAATGAGATCAAATTCCAGACTTGGAGGAAACTCTGTTGTCGTTTGATACAGGCTGAAGGAGAAGGCGTCACATTTCATTACTGCTCCTAAGTAGCTTGATGCACTTCCATCAAATCCTGTTTAAACACAGGATGTAAAGTTTGAGGCTCTGCCGTAAAGAACAGCCGGCAGCTGGAGATCTGTGTTTTGCTTGGCGCCGCTCACAGCAGCCCTGCATTGTGCATTGTGTGGGCTGCTCAGCTGCAGACTATTTCTACTGCAATCTGCTTCCAGGCGGGTTTCTGCTTTGGGTTCTTGCTGGGGTGGGGGGGCATACATTGAATGGAGGTGACTACCCTCCTTTCACCGGTGTTTGGGTTGCACGTTTGGCCAGAGGCAGAGAGAAAGCCGATCACAGACTGGTACAGTCTGTTCAGGTCGTGAAAACGAGCCGCCTGTCGAGTCCCTTCATTCAGACCCGAGTGGCAAATCCAGCAGCTGTGCTGCAGTTCAAAGAGTGTGCTGTAGGTAAGACGAGCTTCCACTCGGCGATCTGGTGCCGCCCTTGGTCTGTTCTTGCTCGTCTTTTCTAGTGGCATGTGTGGCCGGACCACAGCATGTGACGGCCTCCTCTGTGTGTAATCTGAGCGCAGCGCAGATTATGGTCAGTCACATCTAGACTAAATAGAACTAGCAGATCTGCACTTGCTGGAGGGGAAAATACTAAACACTTTAAACTATTTGAAAGGGTAAATTATTTCAGTAGACAATCCAATAACAGATACAGTTTTTAAAGAAGACTTCCCCCAGCTGCTTGGTTACAGCTTAGATTTTTTACTTCATTTTACAACCATGAATTTCCTGCTTTTCTACTGAGGTTGAATGAGGGGCCAACGCTAAGTAGTATGTTTATGGAGCGAAGGGAAAAAAATAAATAGCAATAAATAAAAGCTGCATCATACATTTGTATTTATCTCCCTTTACAGTCATCCCCTTAAATAAAATCCAGTGCAACCAATTGCCTTTAGCTGTCAGCTAAGTAGTTAACAGTGTGGCCATGTGTGTAATTTAATCTGAGGATGATTGCAGTTGGGAACTCCTCTCAGGCATGTTGGAGAACATTAACAGACAAACAGCATCAATGAGGCCATAAGAACCGCAGCACACGGGTCAGGGAGAAGGTTGGAGAGTTAGGTCAGAGAGCGGCAAACCCAGCTTTGGCCTGGAGCACTGCTCAATCCACCCATGAGAAAATAGAAAGAGAACAGTAGAACTATAAAAACATGGCTGCCCAGAGATCGGCTGCTCAGGTGGGAGAACCCTTTTGACAGGACAACAGTTAGTTCTTTCATTGAAAGGAAGTCATGAGAAAACATGTGACTAGCAGTGGAGTAGGGTGGTGGCAGCATCATGCTGTGGAGGATGGGAAGATGGATAATGCAAAGCTGTTGGAGGCTGCTAAAAGCTTGAGATGCCACACAGTACGGCTGCAATAGAAACTTTATACTGTGAGAGTGGACTGTTAAAAGTCGAGATCAGATCCAAGTGAGATTCTGTGTACATATTAATTATTGGACTTAATTTATCTCACTTTGGAGAAATTTACCTCTGCATTTAACCCATCTCCTTGGGGAGCAGTGGGCTGCCATTGTGCGGCACCCGGGGAGCAGTGTGGGGTTAAGGGTGCTCAGGGACCCAGAGTGTTGTGATCAAACCGGGTACTTGCAACCTTCTCAGAGCACAAGCGCACTAGCCTAACCAATAGGCCAACACTCCCCTCAAAGATACAGATCTTAAAGTGGATCTTCACAAACTCCTTCCTTCCACTCTGACTGAGCTTTAGCTGTTTTGCAAAGAAGAATGGTCCAATATTTTAGTCTCAGTCTTAAAGACCTTCAGCTCTAACTGCAGCACTGGTAGCAGCGACTCAGGAAAGCTTAATTCATACGCATTTCCCCCCTTTTAGACATTTCTTTATAAAAATCAACATTACACCCTTATATGTGTTGGTTGTTTTTTTTTTTTTATATAAATGCATGAAATACAGTCAAGTTTCTGCTTTTAAGATGATTAAATGTTAGAAAAGTAAAGATTTCCCTCTTTGGTTAAGGTAAAACTGATTCTTGCACAATTGTGTCCACAAAGCGGTAAAACAGTGAAATCTGCTCAAGTCATCTGTTCTGAGTAGCAGTCAGAATCTCCTCGGTTGTAACTGTCTGATGGTTTATAGATCATTAAATCTTCAAAATAAAAATGGCCGTTCTCCTTTTTGTCAGTGTGTGGTATCAGAGTTTCAGGTTTCTTTTCCCATGTGGCTTCACTAAAGCTGTTAAACTGCCACCTTTAATACTTTAGTCCACTTTAAACTGAAGGTCTATAATTGGTTTCACTCTTTACATAAAGATATATAAAGACTGTCATTTATATCTGTTTTAAAGTCGGGACATTAATCCATCATTAAAGTCATTAGAGGCAGCCGGAGCAGCTGTTAAAGGGAGGCAGAGTCAAGTATGGAGAAAAATAATCTCTAAAGGAGCAGGCGAAGTGTGACGGAGCGGCGCACGCCGTCTCCTCCGCTGCTGCGGTTGTTGTTTTAAACTTTAGTGTTGACCTCCCCCGCTGATCTTTGCTGTGTCACTTCTCTATCACCTCATTACCCATTTCCTTCACTCAACCGGGCTCAGAGCAAGCCTGCTTTCTTACAAAACCTTTTCTGCAGTGATTGGAAAGTTTTTCTTTCCCCTCTAATTCGTACTATGCATGGGACAGTTTCTCACATTAGAACCTTAAAAAAATATCACTAAAATTTCATGACATTGCATTTCAGAAGTCAAAGGTTTATATACACAAAGATTAACATGCCTTTAAACAAATTTAGGAAGCCCGTATCATGTTGTCATGGCTTTGTAAGCTAAAACTGTGAATTAAACTGAGGAAAACTTTTGAAGCTTTTAGGGATCATAGTAAAATAATATCAAAAAGATCAATCTGGTTCATCCTTGGGTCTAATTTATAAGAAAAAATGTGTGCAAGATGTTCTCACCTTCATATATTTGAACAAATACACAAACATGGGCTGAAAGGCCGCTCAGAGAGGAAGAAGCCATTACTCTAGGAGTTTCATTAAAGTGTTATTAAAGTTTTTTAATACATAAGGGGAAACAATACTTATTTTATGGCCCGATGCCTACTGTTTGGCCATAAGTGTCTTCATGGTTGGAAGAAATAGGGATAACCTCGTCAGCTGGAGAAAAAAACTGTACGCTTCCCTAAACAAATAACATGTGGATATAATATCAAAATAAAAACTAGAGAGTTAATGTTCAGGGACAGTCTCACCTTAAAAAAGCTCTTAAAGATGATTGGAAAGGAAGGATTCTTCATGAAGACTTCTGATCATTATGTTCATCAGGCTGTTATACGTACAGTAAAGTCAGAGGTGTGTTCTGATTTTCTGTAATACAGACCTCTACAGGAGATCCCTCCTGCCCACAGCCAGCTCCAAGCCCCAGCATTTCATTTCCCTTTTTGTTTGATAAGGTATTTCTGAATTTAATTGAACTATCATACAGATACTTTATATGCAGTCCCATCAAACAGGGGGTCAAGAAAAAAACAAAAAACAAAGTATTTCTAAATATTTATTATACTAAAGAAAATGAAAGAGGTTCATTATCAAACTATGCTTTTATCTTTCTGACCATGAGCAAAAAGAAATTACTTTTGAAATCAAAACTGACCTACATGTAAAAAAAATAAGGAAATCTTAATTTTTTTTTTTAGACAGAGGAAAACAGGTTATGCATTTTTTATAGTACACATTTATTTTATTTCGACACAATAGCAAACTTAGGTCTAGTTGTACAGAATGTACACATCATTTTATCTAATTTTGCCAATCTAGTTTTTATTTGCAGGAATTTTTTCAACATTTTTTTCCTGCATTGGTCCAGTGGTAACATCAATGTTTAACTCAATGCTAACTGCAAAAATTGTTCATAATGGGTTTTTCTTTTTCTATATTGTCTGTTCTAATTTTCCACTCATTTTTATAAAATATCTTTTTATTCCTTTAATATTCAGCCATTTTTCTCTAAAGCGTGAACCTTTATTCTTCCATTTGTCTGTTTTTCCTACTTACACATCTCTACCGTGGGACAAAATAATATTCCAGTTCTACTCATATGAATGAAATCCAACCCTGAACATGCAGTAAATAATCCCTCAGGCTGTAAAACCCTGGATGATTATTAGAACAGTCTGCTGACTGTAGTTTTAAAATGTCTTCAATGTAAAAGGCGGGGTTTTGAGGACTGTTGCCTTCCTTTCAGCAACAGGTGGGGGACGGGCAGTGTAGTAATGTGTTAACCTGAGGAAAATTCTCTCTCTCTTTATTGATCTCTTTATTGTCATTAATGTCAACACTACTGCATTCTAGGGCTTTTTAAAAAAAATCTGAATTAAAAAGTTTTTTTTTTTTTTTTAAATAGTTTAATAGTTTTTTAAAAATAAATAGCAGCGTGTAGCTTTTGTCTAAGCGTTGGCATTATGGTTGTCATGAAAACATCTCTCACCAGTGAGTGTTTGCAGAGGGAGGGTGTGGGGACTGCAGAGCTGTTAATCTGGATCGTTTAGTCTGTTGAAACCCCTCAATAAGGCAACATTTCAGCATCCAAGAGTTGCTTGGAAGAGGAAAACAGAAAAGTTGTTCTACAGGTCATACATGTTGTTAAGAGGTGGTTAATCTGTCCCCCCCCCCTTTTTTTTACAGCTGCCCTACCTGCTGCCGAACTATACAGGAACAGACCTAAAGTCTCGCATGCACCCGGTGTTTTACGGAGAAAGCATCGAAGTCAACCCCAAACCGGAGCAGGAAATCAAGTAAGTCATCCTATAGTCAGCCTTCCTGTGTAATCTCTGACCTGTTCCTAAAGAACTCCCCCTCTACCACCCTAGGTGCACATCTGCGGTCAAGTATGACTCCGACAAGCATTACAGAGACCGGGTTTTGTGCGCCCCGGTTCCTACGCCCACCTCCTTCAGCGAAACGGTGGTGGCCGTGCGGAACTGCACTTGGAGAAGCTACAAGTCGCAGGTTTATCTGGAGCCCAGGCAGAAGCCCGTCAGCTACCAAAGCACCACCATCATCTACCCCAAACACGCCAAGAACACTTACCGCACCACCCTCAACTACAACCCCACAGGCTGCCGCCGCTGGTTCGTGTCCACGGTGCAGCTGGAGTCCAGCGAGGATACGACCCCCTGCGTCATCTACACAGAGGACCTGTAGGGCCCCGGGAGAGGGGTTCTGCTTCGAGAGACTCTTTTTGAACTTTTTCTTTTGTCTTTTTCTGACGATAAGGAATTTGAAAAGATCCACACTGAAAGGGAAGTACCTGCAGCCATTGCCTGGAGCTTTAAGACCCCGCTCTTTAAACTCTGGGAACCAGTCAGATTATTTTGATTTCTTACTGTTGCAGTCCCGAATCGGACCCTCTGTGCTCTGCAGCTGCACTACGGTGGTTAATGTCTTATTTGATACAAGAGCTAGCAACCTGGGAGCCCGTGCTCTGCGTTCGGATGGTACTGGACCCTGGTGTCTGTATATAGGGGGAAGAATTAAATCGACACGTGCTGTGGATCTTACCCAGTCACACCAACGCAAAGTGTTCAGAATATGGCTTTATTGCACTTGTTTTCTACATGTCACAGTTCCCTCAGAGGAGCTGGCGTAGCGGTGGGGAATTTCTGTGCTGCCTCTGAAAAGTGGACCAAAAAGTTTGTTTTCTTTGAGTAACTCCGTACACTCAGACTGAAAGCTGGTCAGCAGAGAGCATCAAGTGTTCATTAGAAAGCCGGTGTTCTGTCAGGTGAGCATACCCGGTCAGATCCATAGCCGAAACCCGTTTATCCCTTCAGTTTTGTACGAAAAATACATTTTAAACTACCTCAACGGGCGTGTATCGCTTTAGCCATGTACAAAAAAAAACCATTTAATTACTTAGTTTTTGGTGTTTTTTGAAGCATATGGCATTTGGGACATGCTAATGATACATGCCCGTTAGGGTTTAAAGGGTATTTGTTGTACAAAACTAAAGGGATAAAGGCAAAAATGACGCGTTGCGCATGCGTATTGACTACCAGTGACCAGATTTGGGTTTTTGTAAAGGAGGACACTTTTTTTGGGGGGGAGGGGCGACTGCTGGGCCGCTGACTGGACCGAACCGGACCAGGCACCAGCTGGGGACGGAGCTACCGAACCTGTCCCTATCCGCCAGAGTTCCCGGACCAGCCCTGGATATATCCATTAAAATCCCAGACTATTTTGAAATTCACCCCAGACATTTTTAAGGTATGAAAAATAGGAAATGTCCTGGAAAAGGAAGACGTCTGGTTACCCTAGTATTGACTAAAGGTATAATGGTCTGACGGGGTATGCTGATCTGACGGGACACAGGATATCACCAATTTAGATTTAAACAAGATCCTGTATTTCGGTCTAAAAGTGTAGCTGAAGGGCAGGGAGATGAATCAGAGTCATTGTTTGGAACAGAGAAATAAGGCTGAATTTGTTTAGTAAAATTCAGCAACTGATATTCTTGGAGATTTTGTTGCCGTCACAATATATTTCCTCTACTTAGAGCAAAATGGAGGTAAAGGCCTTTTAAAAAGATAACAGTCAGAATATATTTCTAAGCTGCATTATTGTGTCCAGAATATGAAATAGTTGAGCCTTACAAGACTACAGGCGGCCTTCTTTTAGCTGTAGCCCCAGAGGCTAATGCTAACAGCCAAGACCAAAGCTGTGGGGGTTGGCGGCCTAGTGGTTAGGGCATAGAGCCCCACTCCCAAAGTGCTGCCACTCTGGGTCCCTGAGGAAGACCCCACACTGCTCCCCGGGCGCCGCACAATGACAGCCCACTGCTCCCCAAGGGGATGGGTTAAATGCAGAGGTAAATTTCTCCAATGTGAGACAAATAAAGTTCTATTATTGCACCGATACCAGTATCAGGCTGGGCCCCGATCCAGCACTAAAATGGTGGTATTGCTATCAGCGAGTACCAACAAATAGGGGACCGATACCATTTTATGAGCCAAAAGTTTATTAAACTACTGTCCCCCATTCCAGGTAGGCAATAAAAAGTTCTACTGGATTCTCTTTGTATTAGTCTTTTTCCTGCTTCACTAAGGTAGGCAGCAGCTTGATGAAGCCATGATGGCAATTATTTGACATCCAAGTAGTTTGCAGTTCTTCATATATAAACAAACACACCAATTTCAAACAGATGGTATCGGTATCGGTCGATACTGCACAGCCAGGTATCGGGTATCGGTGCAAAAAAATGGCATCGGTGCAACACTAATTATTAGCCAATTTCTACCATTTTTATACAACTTCAGCATCAATTGGCTCACAAAGGTTAATGCAAACGTTATTTGGCTGCTTATTTACAGATAAATCAGCAATTTTATTCACAAGTAATGAAGGCTGAGGGCAGTGCACCCCCCCCCCCACACATTTGCTTCCTGTGTCAAATAGCTTTAAATGGAAAATGTCCCTCATCTTTGATCAAAGTGTTCATTTGATATAAAAGTAAAACAAACAAAACGGTAGTTTACGATTTTTTTTTCTCCGCTTTTGTATCGTCCAATTTTCCTGTCCAGAACATGTTCCATGCAGAGCATGTGTTTCATACAGGAAGATTACTGTGGGCGGACCGCCTCCAGCGAGCCTTTAATATCCTCCCAATGCAAACAGAAAGCCTAGCTGTCAGTGAAAGCTCTCACAAACTCATCTCAAATTATGCTAAAAATAGGAGAATTTACTGGAAATATGAAAAGTGCTTATAAATTTTTAGTCGAATCTTACATAAGAAAAAAAAAATCTAAACTTCTCCCTCAATTTCTGTTTGATAAAAGGTTTATTACCACCAAAAAAAAAAAAAGCTTTCCAGCTTGTCAGGTCGTTTTGACATCAGTCTGCTGCTCCGGATTTCTGAAAGCAAAATGAACCCGTTTATTTAAATCTAACAGTAAACATTATTTTATGTCCAGCAAATGGATCCTTTTCCTCCTCTTTGTGTCCAAAGCAGCCTTGGAACCAGAGAGTTCACTTGTGAAGAAATGTTTTTCCTTCTTCTTTTCACTTTTTCTCTTATGTCTATTAGAAATATTCATGTTGCCGATTAGAACTTTCCAGACTTTACCTCAAATTTTCCAAAGTATCTCGGTACGAATACCAATCCCTCCTTTCATCTGAGATTTGAAGCTTTTCTTCGTTATAGTTTGAAGTAGGCATGGGCCTGTTTAGGATATTTGTTTTTTATCATTAAAGACTTAAACCAATCAGGATGTTTAAGGTCCTTTTAATTAGATACCATGGTAACCGCTGATGGTACTAGAAATTGTCTGCCTTTTTTGGCCATTGCTATAAAATGCAACACAGCTTGATGAAAGGAGGATACTATACTTTTATTTAAAGTTTCTGTTGATAAGAAACAATAAATATTCTGTATTTAAATGGCTGTTTGTTAGTATGGCAACAAAATGGCTTTTTTTTTACTTGTTTTTACTTCAAATCCGATAGTGGCCCATGCCTAGTTTGAAGCAGCCTCCGGCTCAGTGTGGAGGTGGACTAACAGGAGGACGTGAAACTGAGGCAGTGCAGCCATACTGTAAGACAGGAGATACTGAGGGGAGAGAAGTAAGTGCAGATGGAAAGAGCAGAAGAAGAGAGAAGGCGGGGAACCGGTTCTCGAGGTTTTATTTTTCTAGAGCCAGAAGCTCCTGAGCGGACGATGGATTTAGTTATGTGTTGACAGTCTGTGAGACGTTAGGGTTCAGATGGAGGGAGGCTGACAGATCTTAAATTTAATACCTTGGTGGTTTTATGTGTGATACTTTCTCCTTTTTTTCGTCTTTTAACACTTGACATAACATTTGATACTGTAAAATATTGTCCTGTTGTATATGTGGCATTGAGGCACTTCATAATTCTCTTTATATTTTTGTACATCAATTATTGTTCCAGTTCTGATGAGAGGTATTATTTAAAAAAAAAAAAAGACGTATAACCTAAATGAATGAAATATAAATCAATTACCAAACTCTTTTTCAGTTTTTGTTTCTTTATTTTGAATTTTAAGAAAAACAAACATTGGAGTTCCCATATCTGTCCAGAGAAAAATCTACAATTTAACGTGTTTAAGCTGTAAAAAATATTTATCATAAACTTTCGACTATTTTGGGACCTCCAAATCTACCACTAATGGTACCAGTTCTGCAAAGGCATGAAAATCTGACTAAATTAACAGCAGCTTCTGCAGGGAGGCTTTGGTGCAAGTTTGGATCAGTGCCTAAAAGATTTTCTCCTCAGCAGCTCATGTTTTCATTCAGTGCTGAATAGGAAGGAGGCGCCCCCTGGTGGAGAGTCGATGAACAGCACAGAACACATTTATTCAATAAGGCCTGGGTTGGTTTGATGTTCAGCAAGGTTAAAAAAACAAACAAGAAAATGGCGTTCATATTTCATGAAGCTGTTTAATCAATTTTATTTGACTTTCAAAGAAAAATGGATGTATAAAATGGATGCTTTTTTGGTTTTTTTAATGCATTTTATATTTAATCTTTTATCTAGTAACTTATGTTAATTAATTATGGAAGTCATATTTAAATTCTGGCTTAAACATGTATATAAATGTACTCATTATGAGACGATATTGTCCCAAAATTTAGAAAATTTCTATTTTAAAAAAAGATCTTGGCTGTGTCCGCATTCCATGGGCTGCATCTTTCAAATATCCGATACTTTAAAAATGTCCATAGCTGTATATTGGTTATTTATTCTCCAGATGCACAGTTTTATATTGTTAAAACACTTTACAATATTTTATTGTTTATATTTTAACTCTACACTATTATGTTATTCGTATACATTTTTCTAAGGTCCACATTTGTGTGACCATTTTCAACAATCTTTCTGCTGCTGTAAATGTGCCCATTGTGGGACGTTAAAGAGACATTCTATTCTATTCTACAAAAGGGGTAGAAAGGTATAAGTAAATCTAAACAATGCATGTATAAAAAATATATCTGCAGAATTTCTAATATTCAACAACAAAAAATACTTAGTTTAGCAAATTGTGCAAAACAGCAATAAAAAAAAAAAAAATCCTATCAGATTTATAGTCCCCACAGATATATTAGATACCAGGTATATTAGAATCTGTCCTTAAATTAAACCCATTTACACAGTAACAGATAAAAACCTTTAGATAAACCAAACATTACCGCCACATATCTGACTCTATAACCATTAAAACAACTATTTTCATTCATTTCAGACGGAATTATTCACAGACTTGGATTATATTAAACTGAACTCCCATGAATTCGAACAGAGCCCTTGTCTTAAAATCTGTTTTTTTCGTTATCTTCTGCAGGCCAGTTAGTTATGTCAGCCTGAACACCTAAATTCGGCCAATCATATATCAACGGTCATCTGTCAATCAATTTTTTTTTCTGTCATAGCATCTTGATTCAGATGTCGCAGCTAATATACGCAACGGTTGAAATAAGAATAATTTCCGTTCACGGGGATGGACGTCTGTGTCTTCAGCAGGCGTAGAGCTAACAGAACTGGCAGCGTTGCAAGGCAAGGGCTCAAACATGTACGGCTTCCTCCTCTAAATAAATAATGTATGATGGAGGAAACTCATCCACAACCTCTGACACTAAACTCTCCTCCTCTTGCATGTTTCCTCTGTCCATAGCGTTCCTTGACAGCGTCGTTTCTAAGTCACCAATTTAGTGCTACTTGGTCTCAATGGAATTTCCCATTGGGAACCTACTAGCACTAAGTTGCTAACTGGTTAGCAAGATGCTTCCGTTAAACCAGCCACCACCAAACTTGCTTATGAACCTTCCGCCACAACAATCTCGCCCCCTGATAAACGACCAATCACATTCACTTTATTCACTCGTGTAAAGTTGGGCACCACTCAGGAGAATTCGGAAATGCAACAGTTGGTACAGCTTCCTTACGACTTTAAATTAATGTCTATGCAGTGGGTTAAAACATCTCGCCTGGTCAACCAGACCAACAATCACCCTAACGACTCCCCTTTTCAGAGGTACAGACCAGTATCCCCATTTCTAAGGGATGGACCTGCTCTTCCGGTTCAATTTGCATGGCTTCTAAGCCAAAACAAAGCTTTGTTGGGCTATTCTATAAACCTTGGAATTCAATGCTAATCCAGACATTTTGAATTGAGAAATCTTCCTGGATGGGAAGCGAAATGTCTTCAAACTATGAAAACAAACTCCAGTGGATTGTGTTTCGCATTTTTGGAATTAAATCAATATAATACACTCACCGGCCACTTTATTAGGTACCCCATGCTAGTAACGGGTTGGACCCCCTTTTGCCTTCAGAACTGCCTCAATTCTTGGTGGCATAGATTCAACAAGGTGCTGGAAGCATTCCTCAGGGAGTTTGGTCCATATTGACATGATGGCATCACACAGTTGCCGCAGATTTGTCGGCTGCTCATCCATGATGCGAATCTCCCGTTTCACCACATCCCAAAGATGCTCTATTGTAGGGGTGGGTATTGCCAAAGAAGTCACGATTCGATTCGAATCACGATTCACAGGCCACGATGCGATTCTATCACGATGCATCACGATACTTGAATTATTGCGATGCATTGCAATATTTTCTCCTCCATGTTTTGCTTTTGAATGACTCGGCACAGTATCCCACGGCCGGAAATGCTTGTGACACAAGGCAGCGTGCGTCAACACATTTGCAGCAACATCTACTGGACTGGAAGTGGTATTGCACTTGTTTTTGGCTGATGTTCGCCAACCATTAATGCAATTTTATTTATTCATTTTTTTAAATTAATAATCGATTCTTGGCATCAAGAATCGATGCAGTAGAT